AAGTTTTTGGTAAATATTTATGCTTCTTAATCACCTAATTAATATAATTAATTAATACTGATATCTCAAGTATTGATCATCACATTTGAATAAAACTTGGTACATAAGTGCTCTAGGACAATAGACAGCCTGATTACTTTGGGGTTAAAATCTGTTCATATTAATTCTCCAATTAGCATAATAATTAATATTATTTTGGTTCTAATCACATTTCAATGAAACTTGTTACATTGTGCAGACCTTATTAGTTTTACACTTAAATCTGTTCATATTAGTTACCTAATTTGCATAATTAGTTTTCTGCGTTTCTATCAACATCTCAAGTTCAAGTAATTTTGAATTAATTTTGAATGTGTCTCCAATACTCTCAGCACACGGGAGTTCTTTCTAAGCTTTCTTTGATTAGACACTGTTGAAGCATTATGAAAAAAAGGAGACAAAACCACGTAAGAAAATCCTCTACTGAGAATACTCCTACGAGTAATCATGTAGATAAAATTGACATGGATTGTTGACAACCATGTTGACTTTATTATGGTGTGTCTGGTACAAGATTCAGCAATCTAAGCAATAGTTTTGACCATATCAAAAAAAAAACTTCAATGAATTTGCCACTTTCCAATGTCATTGGGGGGGGGGGCACTGTTTAAAAACGAAAATACAGGATCTAAGTTTATACAGACCAATTTTTCCCACGGCATGATTTTCCTATCTGGCATAAGCTGTGATTTTTAAAATCATTCCTGTTTTTCATAAAATAAAAATGCTCTGACGTAAACATTGTCTCTCTTTTGTAAATATAGTTTCAAATTCACACTCCTAACTTATTATATCAGATGAGAACAACCTGAAAAACTATGTATGTCCCTTGGAATTTTGTTCTTGTTTCTTTATGCAAATTTCTCTTCTTTCAGCATGCCCCTCCTGATAATTTACCACACTTGTTACTTGAGGCATTCCATGAACAAGAAAGACTGCGTCATCGATTGAGAACAAGGCACTTTATTGAAAGAGTGAGTAAAATAAATGTACATTGTATTTTAGTCGCACATAATAAAATTCCATATAAATATAGAGTGAAACCAGACCAAATTGCAGTGTATTAGCAGTTTTCAAAGTCTGTACATTTTCTATCGATAAACTTTTTCCAAATGAAAACTGAATATTGTGTGATGAATTTCTATAAAATATTAATTACCTACACTTTCCTTGTGTCTGTATAATGTCTATTGTTAAATGTTAAATGCCTAATATAATAGTTTGCAGTCGCAACATAAATTTCAATGTTAAACCAGACAAGGGCAGTACATGGTATTGCGTAAAGGTTTGAATTATGGTCAACGTCTTTTTATGGAAGTAATCCTGGTAAACAAGTTGACCAGGACTATTTTGTGGAGGGAGGCAATTGCAGTGACTGGGTTAAACAGATGTGAATGACCACTTGTCAAACATATACCGGGTAGTCTTTTTAGACTATTTTCCAAGGCTTTGCAGTATTCTTGTGGTGATTTTGTTTCAGTAACTATCGGAGCAACAAGCCATCAATTACAACATTGAGTTTATCAGTATTTACAATCACAAAATTAAACTTCTTAATACGGTTTTTCAACTTTCAGGAGAAGCTAGTATTATCAGCAGAGCAGGAAATAATGCGTGTTCATGGTAATGCCGCAAGAGCTTCAGCCAATCAGAGCACTCCGTACAGTGTATGTAGTATATTGCGAGATCAAGAAATTTACAACATGCCAGACTTACAGGTATTAGTTGTTACAGTAGTTATGAAAGTTGGTCTTTGATATAGTTTTGTAGTTAGTAGTTGTTTATGGTATTGCTGTAAAAGTTGTACATTGTATAGTTGTTAGTTGGTACAATTATGAAAGTGACTAGTTGGTCTTGGTGATTTCTCAACAAGTTATCTAATATTTGGTTACAGGGTGAAGAGGATGCAAAAAATATACGCACTCGTTTTAATGGTCGTCAGTTTTTCTCATGGTTGAGAGACGTTGATGACAAGTATGCGAAACTTAAGGTTTGTATAAATTGGAGTATTATATTTTCGCTTGATATTTAGTTCTGCTTTGTTCTCTGATAGTGTATAATGCAGCAGAATTAAAATCACTTGAAAATTCTTCTTCCCCTCTAGTTTGCTTGGTGTAGTTAACCATATTTGTGCTATTAGAAATGCACATGTAATCTATAGAAAGTCATTAAAAAGAAATTAGTTACGCCTATAACTTATAATTTCACTTTTATCTGTCTGCACCTGTATTGCAGACAGATAACTGACTACATTCAAACTTTACACACACATGCACACAAATGCACATGTTACATGCATTTGTTCCATGATTTAATTCAAGATGACAAATATCAGTCGTTTCAGTGTTAAAAATTCATCAAAATCTAGCATTTTTGCCATTTTCTAATTGGGTTCTTGATGCATCTATTTCTTACTCTATTTTTTTTTTACTTCCCTGTGGATAAAGTTGATGAAGATTATTATAGCAAAAAAATTTACATTTTCGACTTTTCCTTAAACACTGCTAGTCCCATTACTTTGATATATTATATGTAGGTCTTTTGGGTATATTTCTATCATATTTATTTATTTTGTGATGATATCACTATTTTAAGCAAATAGTCCTGTCATTTTTGTTAAAAAATGATATTTTCGACTTCTTCTTGAAAAATGCTAGCCCCATTATTTTGATATGTTATATGTAGATACCTTGCGTAGATTTCTATCAGATTTGTTAATTTTGTGAAGACATCTTCACATCTTTAATTTATGATAAATATTTGTTTCATTTTAGATAAAAAAAAATCCATTTTTGACTCCCATGTGCGAAGCACAAAATGGGAGTCTTTGCAGTTAGTGTACTTGGATTGCTATATGTTGCGAGGACAAAAATACAGATATATAGCTACTTCCGAGGACATACACACCTTCCGAGGACCTTTTTCATAGTCCTCGGAAAACATAATTTATATTAATAGTTAATTCGATTATTAATACGTTTTGCGTAGCTTAGG